ATGTTCATGAGGAGCAAAGGCACAGAATCTGTGCAGGTTCTTAGGGACGTTCAAGGCGGAGGAGAAGGCCAGTTCAGAGAAGGGTCTTCTGGGGCAGCCCAAGGAACAGCAGGAGGCTGGATTTCCACGTGCGGTTCGAGAAAGGATCAACCCCTGCGCAGGCTGCGAGTCCTGCAGAAGGACCCACGGATGCCGGAGGGGCTGGCCAGCCCTGGGGGGCAGTGGGCGGCTTTATATGTGGGGGGGCGGGGGCAGAGAGGATGTGGTGGCAGCAGGAGGGCAGTTCCCAGACATGCTTCCGTGTCCTTGGATTCCTCCTATCAGTGAGTAATACGGGAACTGACTCAGTCTAAAACCTTTTGGATCTTGAGGACAGACAAAAAAATAATGCTTTAAAAAACGTGGGAAAGTTAAGTCACAGATGCAAACCCAACACAGGAGATGTTGATGCCTGTGGTGGCTCACCGCACATGTGAGCTGTGCTGAGAGAAGCAGGACAGAAGGAGAAAGAGAGAGGGGTTGAAAAGTGGCCTGTTTTCCCCAGATTGGGGGAAGATTCTTGACTTCAGATCTCATCATCTTCAAGGTGGACTTGTGTTCCTTCTTCTGCAACACTCGTTCAACTCTTCAGTAGGGAAAATGATCACATCATCTCTGCAAGGAGAAGAGCAAAGGGGCCCCTTTGGGATGGAGGCAGGTGGTCCACACGGCTTCCTGTTTTTCAAACATGCGCACCTTTACATACTGAAAGATTGTTCTTGTCCGCGGAGTTGCTATTTCTGTAGACCAGAGTTCTCAGATTTTGGAAGACTGCAACCCTCTAAAATGATAAACGAACCGATGTTCTCCTCCATGAACCCAACAAAACGAATGATTTGTTTGGGATTCAGATGGGACAAGAGCTAAATGTGTTATCTCCCACTGATCTCTGGCAGGGGTCCTCAGTCCGTGCAGAACAGCCACTGTGCCTGGGCTTGTGCAGACTGGAGAAGGAGCAAAGCCCGGGGTTAGTTCTGACAGTTCTCCCACTCTGCCTGGGCGAGCCTAGTTAGAACGGACTCCCTGCATAAGAACCCCTGCTCTAGACCCCTGCCTAGGGGTAGGCAGGCCAGGGGCATCCATGCCTTCGCTTCAGCAAGAGGGGGCCATTGTTCCTGGTGGTCATGCTGTGTTGCTAGACGCGCAAAAGTCATCCCCAGCACTTGCTCCCAATCCCTGCAGATTTTCTTCAGTCTTGCCAATATGTGTTACTTCAAGAGCAGGGTTGTGAAACTTTTACAACAAATCTCGGTGAGGCTCCATACTGCTGATAGAGCCCTATCCAGGTCTTCTCCGTGACCTGGATTCAAGGAGCAGCCCTGCTTAATGGGGGGCATTCATTTCTCCTCTCCCCCTCCCCAGACTGGACGCCTCTGCTTTATGGAGAGAGGCCATGGGTTAGCAGGATGGGGAGCTTTCAAAGATGTCCCCAACCTTCTGTGGTTGTTCTCCGAGCAGCAGCTCCATCCCCCACTCCAGGAACTGGCATGCTTCTGGCCAGAAAGGAATCCTTAAGTGCATTTTTCTCCGCTGGTGATGCAGGTTCATTTCAAAACTTCAGTCCAGCATCAAACTGGCTGTCCATCATCCACCAAGAAGCTTTTGTATTCCAACAAATTGCACTGATTCTTTCTATTTGACAATATATTGTTCTATTTTGTTTGGCAAAAGCTTCACAGATCTCGGCTTCGTATCTGGACTGACTTATTTGAAGTTTAAATTCAAACTGAGGGGTGTAATCCAATGAACAGTTAAGTACTTAAATATTTGTTTTCAGTAGAAATAGAACCTGTGTGATTGCATTGATAAATTAACTGATAAATTATGTGGTTAAGTAGAAATTGAAATCATGATCTAAAATCATCTACCAAGTATGCTCTTTATTCAATTATTAAATTGATGGCTTTGAACTATGGTGCTGGAGAAATCATTGAGATTATCTTGGACAGCTAGAAGAACCAAACATTCAGTACCAGATGTTGTAAACTGAGCTGTTTAATGGAAGCTAAAACTGAGATATTTTGGACAGATAATTTTATTTATTCATTCAACCTGGATCTTGCTCAGCGACAATTGATTCTGGGCTCACGACATTGCGGAGATGAGAGTCACTGGAGAAGATGCTTGGAGGAATCGGAGGCAGTAAAGAAAGAGGCGAGATGGCCAGACATTCTGCCCGAGGACACAAGGAGGGGCTTCCAAGCACTCAGAGAGCAGTTACGGACAGATAGTTCTGGCAAAACGACGTTCCTCGGGTCCTGAAAAGTCGGAAATGACTGAATGACTGAACATCAACAAGAAGGCCTTCTAACCGTATCTTCCCTGCAAAATACTGTGTTGCATTTTGCCCCTTAAATCACTCTCTAAACTGCTACAAGTGGCGTCTGAACGCGTGGCCAGCCCCGCTCTGCTGTGTTCTGGGGACTGTAACTCCAGTCACGGCTGGAGGGTCGCCTGAGGCACCGAGCTCTGGATACATGCCACTGGTCAGCAGAGGTCACCCCGAGAAAGATGTTACTCACATACCCGGCACAGCCACCTTGGAACTGGGGTGCTCGAGAGTCTAGGAGAACATCCCAGTCATTCTCCCTTTTCCCAAAAGTGAACCCTGTTGTTTGGGATACAGCCCGGGCTTCATCCTTCGGTCACTGGCTGGTGTCACTCCATCACCTCCTGAAGTCTCGTGGGCATGCACCCTCTAAGTGTGCTGCTAAACTGTACTTTTGAACATGATGGAAGGGGGAAGTTAATCAGTGCAGTAATTAGTTATCTTAATTTACACACAATGCTGTTTGCATTGGTCTTTGCCTAGACCCCTCCTCTTATTGGAACAGACCAGACTGGCCCTTGCGCTGGAAGAGACCCTGTTGCTCCTGCTGCTCCAGGGTGACCACGAGGCGTCACCGAGCTCGGAGGACGTGGCCCTGAGACGGAGGCTGTGGAGGCCAAGCAGTAAAGACCGCATTTCAAAAGTTATTGCCTCCCTTCTGGACAAATGTCATCCAGAAATCCAGGATGGGGGTCCAGTCCCCTGCCTCTGATGCTGAGAGACTGGTGCCCCCATGGAGAGTATCTCTGGGGATGGCCTTCGGGTGGAAGGGGGAAAGAGCTTGGTGTATCCTACAGTGGCCTCCCTAGAGTCACAACCAATACCAGCCACGGGTGTCCACAAATCGGGGGTAATGGGAAATGATACGGCATCATTGTGGCATATGATTTGTGCAATCAAGTATGTGACATCACTGGGGCTCCTTATGGATGCCTGTGATTCCTGCTGATCACAGGGACACCTCTATTTTGTTTTGCTGGGATCAGAATGGGAGCTTTCTCCCAGAGTGTTCCTTCGGCTTCCCCATCTAACCTACCACTGTGGGGTTTCCTGGTGGTCTCTCTTCCAAGCCTTCTGCACAGCTTTCTGAGAGCAACCAAGACCAGGTAGACGCTGCACCTGCTGGGACCGGCCTGTTCTACTCCCAGGCAGTTTACACGCCTTCTCTCCTCCACTCGGCGCTTCAGAATAGCAGACTTTTTGCCAATCGCAAAGAAAACAACAGTGATGTTATTTCTGGTTCCTTCCTTCATAAAAAGGCTGGAAGACGGTGATATAGTATTCATATTTAATGACTGATACTGGAAGGAGGAGCAGAGAGGCCTGGTCAGGAATGTTTTCTCAAAGCACCTCCTCCCGAAGATGCAGCGAGAGCGTGTCAGTGGGTGAAAGACGCCTGGTTAGATCAGCATCGGCCCCGGGCCAGCTGGACCGGGTTGAGGAGGCAGAAATCCTGGTGGGGATCGGCGTCCAGGGCAGCCTCCCTCGCTGAGCTTGCAGCGTCCCTCCCCGGCACAGCCTTCCCTGGTTCCACACCTGGCTTCTGCTTCAAGAGCCAGATGGAAGTGCGTGTCTGTCACAGTTTCCCCACCGAAAGGCTGGAGAGGAAATCCATCTGTAGAGAGCAATCCGGCCTCCTCCCTGTTGCCTTCCCGTTCTTCTTTTCCAGAAAAAGGGAATGTTGAAGAATCCCACCAATAAAAGCTTTGGGATCCTTCCGGCGGGGGATTCCAGACTTTGGAACTGCCAGTTGCAATCCAGGGGTCCGTGCGGTGCCTTCATCCCTCCTTGGGCCAGCCCTCTCCCCACCTGCCACCGTGGAGCCTCGCTTTTGGTTCCTCTGCTTCCGTCCCCCGCAAGGGACCCTGCCTCACCCGGACTCCGAGCAAAAGGGGACGGGGAAGTCAGCTGCTTCGGCCGGGCGCCTTCCTTGAGATGCCGCGAAGGGGGGGGAGGGCAAGTGAGGGACACGCACCCACTCTAAACTCTGCCCCCCCCCCACCGCGAAGGCTGAGGGCTCTTTCAGGACACCCTACTGGAAGCAAGGCCTAAGCCGGGGGAGGGGAAACAGCAGAATTCCTCTCCCCTTATTTTCCTTATGCAAAGGGTTCCGAAACAGCCGGGGCGGTCAGCATGCTTGGCATTTTGATTGCAAGCTGTGAAGCTCTCTCCAAGGGTGCCGGGGGGTGAGGTGGGGTCAGACAGAACGGCCCCCTTGCTCCCTTTGACATGCCCACTCCCACCCCCTTCGCGGCTTCCTCTCTTCCATGCAAGGGCGCCACGGGCAACAGACGTGCTTCCAAGGAAACGTGGAGCTGCCAGAGGGCTCCATTTTCATGTTCTGAGCAAGCGGTGGGGCCTCTGGCGAGATGGATGTCCCAAGATTTTCCTGGATGCTGCCACTCTTGCTGCTTTGCTGTGTGTCTGTTTCCAAGGGAAGCTCTTTTTAAAGTCAGCTGGGCCACAGGAAACTTGGTGGGCACCAGAGGGGGCATCTGTGGGCATAGGAACGTGCACACCCACCCCAGTGCATCACGGAATGTACATTCTGTTTATCTCTTCAGTGTTTTGACAGTGGACTCTGCAATTCTTCCTCAGTTTGCTAAACCCCACACTTTTTATTCTTTCTCAGGTTTTCGCCGCCAATCTTTGTCTATCTCATTAACATAGTGCCGTCATTGTGGATTTTGGAACTTCAGCCTAAAAATCAGGTACTGGATTTCATGGCTTCCTACCAGGCATGACAGAGATGGAGGGGAACCATTTGCTCGGGCAAAGAAAACTGAGCTCCCAGAAGGCCAATCTTGGGGCATCCGTTACTGTATTTTTGTATCCTGAATTCAAGAAGCAGGTACCTTTGGGTTTCCTACCTGAGGTGTGAAATCATTTTGGATTAGGCAACGATATAGCATTGGTGTTTACTGATGCACCTTGAAGGATGGGAGCAGTAAACCTTCTACATCAGTCCCACTGCTAAATAAATGAAGCCAAGGAAGGGGGGTGATCCAGATGTGGTCAATTTGCATGATGGCTCCAGATGCAAAATCCAGTTTTTATTGGTCTAGATTGTCCTTTTTGTTGCTTTACTAGACACGGCCTTGGTTATGAAAGTTGTATAAGTGTATCCAGATTCATCATCTTTGTTATCTTCCCTGTGAGAAAAACATGGCTGGCGTTAGCAGCTGCAAAAGCAGACCTCCTTTTTCCATGCGTAACGAACTAAAAGGCGTAGCAAACTAGGAGGACTTCAGGCATCAGTCGTAGCAGGTCATCCATCTCACCGTCTCACGCTGGATTTCATAGAGAGATGCTCATGCACTATCACTTGTTAGATTACCATTAAAAGGGACGTTTTATGTTTCATTTGCATTTCTCCTTCTTCTGTTTTATTACACACGACCAGCACCAATTACATTAATGTCCCGTGGTCATGGCTCATTGGCATTTTACATTCAATACTGCAGCCACATCATAGTAGGACGTAATTGTGTAACATTAGCTTAATATTCAGACCAATTCACCAAAGTCACACAAACAGGAGAATTACGGCACAGTCCAGGGATTGTTTACTTAGAAGTCGTTTTCGTTGCGCTGCATCTCCCTCGCATAAGAACGGCTGCGCAGCAGCGCAGCAGCGCATCCCACGTACAGAGCAGCGCAGGGCTCTGAGCTCGGTGGCGCCGCGGCCCAAGCAGAGGCCCAGCAGAAGCCATGGAGGGGTGAAGACTGCGGGCCTTAGGGCTGCAAAAGACCGGTGAAGTGCTGGCACGCCGCATCCGCAGGAGATCCTCAGGCCCCGAATGGGCCTTTTCCGCTCACGTTTAAGGGGATTTAACATCAGAGAAAGTATTGCAGCCCAAGTCGAGGGATTCATTTCCTCACATAACGTTTTCTAGGTTGATTGGAGTGCTGCTTCCTTTTGCAGACCATTCACACATCTTAATTTGAGAACAAGAGGCTTATTCGTTCAGCAGCTGCCTTCTGGGAACGGATAGAGCGTGCTGGGAAGCAGCGGGTGAAGGGAAGAGGCATCCATAGGGCCTATCCTGGGTCCCCAGACTGGACCTTCATCTGCCCCAAGCTGATGCATGGCTCCCCGTTTCACTTGGGGGCAGTTGGCCAAGAGTGGCACAGGGAGACAGCTAAGACATCGGGCACTAGAGGCTAAACCCAGGAATGCACGTGCGAGCCCAGGGAAGCCAGGCAGATGCAGAATGTGCGCGATGGAGCACTACTTCCAGGCAAATAGCTGGTTCTGAGAAGATCCAAAATAGAGCAAGGTCCAGTATCTGGTTGTGTATCCTTTTGACGGGAACCCTTTCTGTATCTCGCCTAGGGGGAGTAGGTGAGTGCCAAGGCTGGGGCAACGAACTGCTCTTCGGTGGGTCTTGGCCACCTCCTTGGGTGATCTGAACAACGTCTACCTGGATTCCCATTGCACCTTCTTCCACACTAGAGTCCCTCATTGGTTCAACCCCAGATGGAAGTGCCCACTGCCATGGGCCCCCACCAAGGTCTTTGGTGAACCAGTGAATTGACAAGCGGGAGCCTTTGGGGTCCTCCCATTTCAGGTCTGTGCAGGACCAGAGATTGAAACTGGGTCTTTATTGCAGTTTTGCCCCAATGAATATGAATATGGGCAGCTTGTGAAGAACCACAGTGAAAAAGTCAAACTCAGTTACAGAAACGAGGCCACAACAAACAACATAATGGAAAAGGTAAGGGTTGTTGTAGTGGTTGGCATCCCATAATCAACATCTGGATTTTTGAAATCATTAGATTTCCACAGCAAAAACTGTTTTAATGGCGGGGGGGGCGGGGCAGGCAGAAAAGAAAGGGAATTACACCAGTGTGGTCCCAGAGATACTAGATGGGCTTAGAACCATGGCCACATTATGGATGCCCATGAGGAGCACTGAAATGATAAATATGTTCTTCAGTGTAAGTAAAACCAAGTATAGGAGAGCCTGTTTTGTAAGATCTAGTAGATAATTTCCTCTGGCCATGGGGGCGGGGGGATACGAAGGGAGTCTGAAGGAGCCAGGGAGTTCGTGGCAAAGGGCCTGCTCAGTCTTCAGCCCCGCCCCCCCGTAGGTGTGCAAGGCATGCAAGAATAGATCTTGAAACAGAGCCACATTCTCCAAAAAAACCATCTAGCCTGCCTCCTGGGACCTTGCTTTTCTGCTTTCTGACATTTGCTTTTGCTGCAGCTACAACAGGCCCATGAGTTTGTCAACACACTCTCCAAAATGTGTGAGCCCATCTGGACACTGAGCCTCCATCAGACGTTTCTCCTGCTCCTCATCCTGGGCCGCTGGCTGCTACCCATCGGTGGGGAAATCACCAGGGACCAGTTGTCTCAGCTGCTGCTTCTGTTTGTGGGCACTGCGGCAGATATCCTTGAATTCACCAGTGAAACCCTGGAAATAGAGAACGTACGGTAGGTGCTCCTACCTGCTTTCGGCCTTGGAGCCTGGTCTGGGCTCCCTGGTCGGGCCGTGGGTCCCTGGGCTGGTTGGCCATCTCGGTTGTGGAAGCCAGCCCTGCCCTTCCTCCCCTTCTGCCCCACCGTCAGGTTTTCCGTAAATGCGCAATACTCAACCCACGTGAATAAACCAGAATAATAGGATTGTGAATTTAACCATTTCAAAGACTTATGAAATTTTGCACATGAAAACCAACAGGCTGAATAAGGGAAGATGAAATCATTATTCTTTAGTCCTATTAAAAAGCAATGGTATTTTTGCATTACTCTCAACTGAAGTCTTCTTCTGGCTCCACTGGGATTTAGCCCTTGTTAGCTCTAGTGAAAGTGGGTGATGTGCGGCCTTACTCCATTTCAAAAAACCCTTGCAAGGTGATGCTTTAAAATGGGTTTTAACTGATTTAAATGTGCATATATTAAGGGCTATAAAACAAACCACTTAAGATAGATTATATGGAGATAGAGAAAGAGATAGAGAGATATAGATACTTGATTCTCCGATAGATGGGAAGTTTGGTTTTCTGAAGTTTGGTTTGCTATCATAAAGTTGACGGTTTGGAACAATAAAATAACTTTAACCTTACTTCCATCCCCCAATTTCATGATTTCCAGCCTACAATATTCCCCACTCCCACTTTACGAGTTATGGAAACAAATTGTAAGTCCCCACTGTTGGACACCTACTCAATCTAGCCCATGTATCTGGCCTAATTAAGCCAGTGCCTTGTCCTCCTTTTTTTCAGGAACAAGGATGCTCTTGTGTATGTAATCCTAGCCGTATGGACTTGGGGCCTGTTGCAGTTCCCTCTGGATCTAGCAGGTTGGTCCTGCTCAGCATCTCCCAGGGTTTTACTCAGGAGCAGGAGAAGTTCCCTTTCTTCCACTGTGAAACGGTTTCAGCTGGCTTTGTGAGAAAAGTCAAGTTCGCCAAATGCGAGAAAGGGCTGGTCACTCTGAGTGGAATTGGGGAAGGTCAGTCGAAAACGTGTCCCTTGTCCGAAGGCCAAGGCAGGTGAAGAAAGAGGTAGAGACCCTTGGATAAGTGCAGGGAAGGCCAATGAGGCGATTCAAGAGACTGGAATGTCTTATGAGGAGAAACCAAGGAACTTCAAATAAGTAGACAGATGATAGAGCGAGACAGAGATAAATAGATAGAAATAGGTGATGGATGCACTTAGGAGATGGCTGACCGAGTAAATACAAAGTTCTAGAAACTTCACTTGAGTTTCTACTTTGTAAGTATAGCTTATGATTCATCACAATGTGAATACATTTGGACAAGTGTGGTTTAGTCAGTAAGCCACGATTAATTAAGCCATGGAATAATACAAAGAATGAAACCTGTCACAGACTCCATCTGTGCTATCTCTGTTAACTTCGTCTGTCTTTTGATGATTTATGGTACGGGTGTCAACATCCTGAAAGAAATGTCCTTTTTTCGTTCTAGTGCAACACCTCAACTGTGGTCGAACAGCCTCATCCACGAAAGTTTTCCATTTGCTTCTCTGCAGACACAGCGCTGATCTGTGGAACATCGGCATCAGCCTGTTCATTCAAGACGGCCCTTTTCTTGTGGTGCGCTTGATCCTGATGGGCTATTTTCAGGTTGTGAACCAGATGCTTGTGTTTTTTGCAGCCAAGAATATTTTAATTGTGATGTTGCAGTTGTACCGTCTAGTAGTGCTATTGCTGGACTTCCATGCCTCCCTCCAGTGCAGGGCCAACCACCAGGAAGGAGCAGCTTCGTGTTGCCCATGTGAGCCGAGCCTCATCACCCTTCCGCCCAGCTGCACAAATGGTGGAGGGTGCTCTGCCGCTGCTGCCCCAGCCCTGGGGGACACCTTCCCCGACTCCGCTGAGTGCCTGTGAAACAAGGTCTCTTCTGCCCAAGGATTGGCCCTTTCCTGCGCTGGCCACGTTTGAACCGGCCGGCCTTAGCAAGCAGCCCCGTCGGTCCGCTGCAAGATGGAAGCCTGATCCTGACGGCAAAGGAGAGAGATTTGAGTGGGAACTGGAGAAAACAAAACCCTTCCTGTTGATTAGAGGGATTGACACAGTATCCATTGTATTTATCCGTTGTGTACCTGACGGGACTAAGCTGAAGCAGTTTTCTGGTGGTGGGATTTTTTCAGTGTGAGGCGTTTACAGACTCAGTGATTGCCTTAAGGGCCCTGCAATAACGGAACATTTGCCTGAAGTTCAGGTTCACGTCTGGAACGTGATGCAGAACCCCTTGATCCCGTCTGAGGATTATTTCAATTCTGACAGCAATATGGAAGTACAAATAAATGGAAAGAGCATTTTCCTTCTTCCAATCTGTCGTGGAAACATGTATTCAGTGAATGCAGCAATGGCTGGTTTTGCAATCGCCGCCTTCTTGCACAGATTGAGAACAGTATGGTTTACCATGGAGGCATTTCCCCGCCTTACGCAATACTACATTCTAGTGATTACGACTCATTTTGCCCTCAGTTCTACTTCGTTTTGCACCAGCATCGTGCTTGATGTAACCTTGTCACAATTCACCTACTTCTGCCCTGCTTACGTTGCTTCTTTTCCACAAACCAGTGGGCAACCTTTCAGTGATCCAGACTCAGTGAGATTTTTCCGGGGAGGGACAGTAGGCCAAGTGGGCATGTCTCATGCGAGCTCCTCCCAGCCGAAGAAGTTGCAGTCAAGAATAAATCTTGAGGAAAGTACTGGTGGGAAGCACAACTGTTCATCTCTCAACTCTGGCACTGTGCGAATTTTATCTCGGATCTAAGCAATAACACTGCCACGGTCGTTTCTGTTTGGAATAGTTCTAGCCTTTGAAATGAAATATTGTATTAGCTGACCAAAGGCTTGCATGCTTAGAATAACTTTTTTATTGTTTTTAGTGAAAAAAAACCCTGTTCAAAGTCTTATTATTGCTGAATTCAGTTTTGATATAGTAGGTGCAGTTATTTCTTCCGTTTCTGAATGTTGGTGTTTCATCTTTTGTTACTTGAGCCCAGTTTTTTTAATGCAAAGGGAGGAGATGCATTTAATAAACAGACAAAGAGACTTGTATTTGCCTGGGAAATGTTTGTCTGTCGGTGTGTTTGCTGGAGGGGAAGGGATCTTTCTGCCTGCCTCCCCCTCATCCACATGGCTGCTTCCCCTCAGCTGGCTTTCCTGGGATTTGAGGGAGGGGAACACTGAGCCTGAGAGAGGAAATTGGCATGGAGGAGGGGCCCGTTCGATGGGCCTGGCCCCTGACTTCTGAACTCGCTGGCTCCCTCCTCCGTTTCCGCAGAGCTGGGGCCCCACTGGCCGGCCCAGCGCTTGCATTCGCCTCAGATGCGTTGGGCTCTTCCCGACGGCTGCGTCGGTGCTGTTCCCCAGCCTCTTCTGCCCTCCCACCAAGCCCTTCTGCGGGTGAGAAGCTGCCGCCTGTAACGCGGGTGGGGCAGGGGCACAGAGGCAGGCAGGCGCCTGAACCGGCAGGCCGGGTCCCCTGTCGGTGGGGCGGGGGCGGCCGGGTAAGCCCCGTCTCCACAGGGGCAGATAGCCACGGGCCCTGAGGGCAGCGAGAGGCCAGGTGGGCACTGCGCAGGTTGCCGTGGCTCCACTTCCCACCTGATGAGCTACTGGGGAGGGGGCGCTCGATCCAGGTCAGCCGCAGGGTCTCGCCAAAGAAACAGGTCCTCGGTCTAGGTCCCCCGTTTGGTGCTGAGTGAGGAACATGCAGTAGACAGCAAAATGGAGTTTTCTGAAGAAGCGCACGAAAGGGCTTCAAGACGTCTGTTTGTTTCACGGACTCGTCAGATTTGAAGCTCGGAGACAGAACTGCACCTGCACCTGGAGAGGACACGCAGGGGGGGGGGGGGGGGCAGCCTGCAGGATAGCCTCTGGCCATTTGCCAGAAAGGAATTCATTCGCCCCTCTCTTATGTGAATTTTTATCCATCTAGTCGATAAGAAATGAGTCGTTACTGTGGCAATCCTGACACCACGGTCGCGTTGCAGGGCAGCGCATCCATCGAAGGGAGGTCTGTTTCTCCCGCCTGGAGCGCATTACTGTGGGGGGCAACGGTTGCGGGGAATTGTGGGAAGACCGGCCAGGGGACGTGTGTGGTGATGAGGGCCGAGAGTCACAGGGTTTCCTGAGGTCATGATTTAATAAGCGACCCATTTCAAAACCACACTGTTAATACATCGGGATGTGGTTTTTGACGGCCACCTGGCCCCAGCTGCGTTCTGTGCTTCCTGGAATTAGCCCCCACGTTTCACCAAATTAGCCCCACGGTTTCCATCTTCACAATCACAATTCTGTTGGCCAAGCTAGACTGCTGGGTGTCAGGTCCACTGAACAGGGGGGCCAGCGCCGTGGTCTGACCAGAGTTCTGATTCATTTTTATTTATCTTACGAAGTTTAGAGGCTCCTTGGCTCCAGAATGACTCCGGGCGTCCTACGCTCGAAACATAAAGCAACAAAAAGGAAATCCTGCGGGTCTGGACGAATGCCCCCCCACAACGGAACACAAAGCCAAAGGGGCTCCGCGAGCATCCTGCCCCACGGCCTGGCAGGCTTCAGAGACCTCTGGGACACCATCAGGCTGGGGGTCACGCAGCAAGAACAGTAGCATCGTGTTATTTCTGTTCTCGATTCAATCGTACACTGTAAGTTGCATGCTGTAAACGGCCAGGAGTCAACTCTGATTCAGGTGGTACAGGAATGCAATGCATGAATAAATAAATAAATCTCATCCGGATTGCTTCCAAAAAGGCCAGCAGGGGTGGGAAGGGCACTTTTCTTCTGAGAAATCCAAGTGTAAGGGGGCTGCTAGCTGGACCTTCCAAGCACTGCCCTTGGCGGACGGAACACGCCAGCATGCACGGCCATCGCCTTCTGTTAGACTTCCTGCAACACCATGGCATTTGCGGGAATCTCTTGCCTGAACACAGAGCTTTCTAGTGGCTGTCTCCGCATACCTGATCTACTCCTTCTAGTCTGCTTCTGATCAGTTTCAAGATACCCGAACAAGGACGGCTGGGTTGATTTCCCCAAACTTCAGAAGCCATCTGCATCAAACTGAGGCTTCACACACAGAGACAGCAGCCAACAATCATGGCTAAATCTGTAGGAAAAGCTTCTGGCTGCAAAACTCATGTTGTGTCATCACTACAACTTCCAGTGAAAATGTATGTGAAGGAAGTATCCGGCCTTTTTTGGTTTGGTTTATAATTTTTATTAAAACTTTTAAACAAGAAGATAAAAACTAATACAAACTAATATAAAGTAAGGAAGAAAAAAGAAAAAGGAAGAAATCAAAGAAAAAGCAAAAGTGTAAGAAAAGAAAAGTTGAAGAAAAAGAGAAAAGAAAGAGAAAAGATATAAAGAAGTGGCTTCCGATATTCTTCGCAACCATTATGAGTACAAATATATTTTAACCTCTCTCTCTAAAGTTATATCACATTACTCTTCTTTCTATAATCTAGCCTATCTAATCACTGAAACCATAAATCACAAGTTCATTTTTTTCATTTTTATGCAAAAAGTCCATAAGAGGCTTCCAGTCACTAACAAATGTAGATAATGTCTTCTCTCCAATCAAAGTAGTCAATTTATCCATTTCAGCAAAATCTGTCAACTTCACCAACCATTTCTCCATAGTGGGTAGTGTCAGATCTTTCCATCTCTGTGCATATACTAATCTTGCCACAGTAATCATGTATTGAAATAATCTTCCATGGCTTTTTTCTGCTTATCCATTAATCCTAAAAGGAAACTCTGGCTTCAACTGAATACTGATCTTTAAAATTCTCTGTATCAAAGTATGAATCCATTTTTTTTTAGCTTTTTACATGTCCACCACACATGATAAAATGTCCCTTCATGTTGTTCACATTTCTAACATACATTTGAAATGCCTTTATACATTTTAGGTAATTTCTCTGGGATCATGTACCAACAATACATCATTTTATAAAAATACTCTTTGAGATCATAACACAATGTAAATTTCAACTCTTTTAACCACATATTTTCCCATTGATCCATCTGTATATTATAACCAAAATGCTTAGCCCACTTTATCATACATTCTTTAACCTGTACTTCCATTTCAAATTTCAACAAGTTTGTACATTTTAGCATTACATATTCATCATCAGTACATGGTTGTATTTCAAATTCTCTCTTACTTTGCTCCATACCATAAGTCTTCTTATCCATTTAAAATCTTTCAGATAACTGTAAATGGGAAAACCATTGACAACTATATCCTTCTGCTATTAATTGCTCTCTTGATTTAATTTTGAATTCTTCTTGATAGTTTTCCAATAAGTCCCGGTACATCAACCATTTATCTTTATCTGCCAGTTCTCTTCTATAATATGCTTATTGAACTGAGATCCATAAAGGTGTTTTCGGGCACAACCTGGGTTTATATCTATTCCATATTTTCAGAAAGGATCCAGTCTTGATGGCCAGACAGCTTTCTCCTTATACAACAGCTCAGATATTTTCCAACTGGCCAGACCAGTGCATACTGCAGGGAGAGCAGGAATTTAGCCATCCTTAAAAATAAATAAATTAGAAAAAGTGTGTGGAGTTCCACTGCCATTAAAGGCTAATAGCTATTGCTCCCCATGACTTCCATGAATTGGCCCAACCCTTTTTTGAAGCCAGCCAAACTGGTAGCCGGCACCATGCATGACATCCATTTTTGGGGGCAGTGCCACTCTTTGTGCCACAGCTCCACGGGGGAAAAAAATGGAAATGGAAGTTCAGGATCAGAACAGAGGGAGCACTGCCCCCAGCTTGTCCCACGCCATTCTGTAGATATATTCTGGGTCTCTGCCTATTTTAAGGCACTCTGCCACCCCTTGCCTCCACTTCATTGGCATTTAACCGGGTAGGTTAAATAAGTTGCCAGCATTTGGGTAGAAGCAGGAGGTGTAACAGCAACTTGATCTGCATTTTCTGAAAAGCTGTGTTTAAAGATTCAAGTGAAATCAACCCCCCTTCTCCTTGATCAGTTGACTGTCCTGATTTTCTGTGAAATAGCATTTTTCAACCATGCTGTAAAGAATTTTTTTTGAGTAGGAATGGCCTGTTAGGTAGCAAAGCTGAGGCGGTCATAAACTATAGTTCTAACAGATCTAGGGACGGTGGATTATTTGAAATGATAACAAAGACAATACCTGCACGTTTTAAAGAATTATTTGAAATAAGCCCCAGGGCTTTGAAATGCCCCCAGAGCTATTGGATAGAAAGCATACAAATGAATATGGAACAGAAATAGATGCAATAAACTGCAAAGAGATTAAAAAGAAGAAAGAGACAACAGCAAAACATAAAGCCTTTAGGGGGTAAATCAAGGGCTAAGAAACCATGGAGTTCCATTGTCAAAGGTGACTAATATATTATACTAACTTCCTGTAGATACAAGGAAGCACAATAAAGGCACTTCGGAAGAACTGGGGACACTTGTGAACCTGAGACTTTATTCACATCTTTGTTTAGTCATTTAATTAAAGCAGCACTTAAAGCAGATGAAGCACTTTATATATTGCAATGAACACGCAAATCCCCATCCAGAGATTTGCAGGCTAAGCATCTAGTGGACCACTAAACAGGGATTTTATTGTCTCTCTTGAACACACACAGAAGAGCAACAGAGAGCTTCTGATTCCATCAGCTGCCCCAAAGTCCACTGCCATCTAGTGCCTGGACTGTAGAATTACATTATCCAGATGTCAGAAGACACAAGAGCAAAGATTAACAAGGTGATGTGTCAGTGGGTCTGTGAAACACCACCCAATGCTCTGCCCTACCCAAGATCAATTTTAAAATAGTCTATTAGTGTAATTCTAAAAAAAAAAAAAGAATTGTATGGGAGGAGGAGCACAGCACACTTCAAACAAATCAACATCCTCTGCTGTTAGAGAAACTTTTTTACAGCCTGGAGCAATTTCACTAGCTTGCTTTCTGGTAAATTGGTCTTATATGTTTAGATGCCATTTTGTTACGAGAGAGAGAGAGACTAGAGAACTGTTATAAG